TTATATCTCCACTGTCAACTCACTTGGTTTCTGTAAGTGACAATATGATTGTGGTTGCTTTGAATAAAGGCGGCGCTTATGTATACAAGATTCTTGCAATTAATATAAACATTACTGAATGACATTTTGAGCTGCGCTGGTTTGTTAATTGGATCAGTTTGCTACACCAATCAACTTCTCATTGACTGACTTCGGATTATGTATACAAGATTGTTTCTTCTCGAGTCACCGTGTGTATTTATGAGTCGAATTCGTGTAACCGGTATTCAAATGATGACAACTATAACAGGGAATGGTCGGGACCGACAGGTACTTCGAGTTATGCGTAATATTCGAGACACCGGCATTCGACTCATCGGGATTTGACTGTAGTTGAACGAAAGGATTTGCTTGCGTAATTCAATATGGATTTGTTGACACTCTATTTCTGAAGACTGTTCAAAAGTTATGACCTTGGCTTAACTTCGGTCATACAAGGTACCCAAATATTAGCTTACCATGCCAGGTGAGCTTCAGCCCATTTGGAGAGGCGGTGGGGTAGCTTAGTGGTTGAAGTGTTTGCACATCATTTGAAGACCTGGGTTCTATTCCCCACATGGGTACAATGTGTAAAGTCCAATTCTGGTGTCCCATGCCGTGATATTGCTGCAATATTGCTAAAAGCTGCTTAAAACTAAACTAAACTCAAACTCAGCCCAAAAGGGGCTATTCTGTTTTGTTTCTGCTGAAAGAGTAATGACCTACATCTTTTACATTGAAAACAATTTTACCCATTCAAAGGAAAATCCACTCACTTGTTGCCTTGAATGAAGAGCTGATTCATTGTAAGAAAAAACATGGTGCTAAGAATTGTAGAGAAACTCATATATGGATTAGAAATGGTCTTTATCAACCCATGTTTGTCATGAGAGGTGACTTAAGGGACCAGGTTGTCAGGCTCGCTATAGTCTGTTTGCAGTGAAAATGTACTGATGAATTTCACTTTAAACAAAAAAGTAAATCGAATAAAGTGAAATTAAGATTGCGAATCCTCATAATTTTACCTTGACTTTTAAGTCTCAGAAGTTTATTCAACTTAGGATTATAGCTGTTTAACAAGCTCCAAATTTGACTGACAACTGACTGATGGTCTACCCCATGTGGACCCTCATGAAACAAAGTTCTGAGATCTGTAAGAAGATCATTGGCTGTATCCACCAGTGTCAATATACACACCGTGCAACATTTGTCACGGACATTTGGAGATCCTGTACGCCACTTAGAGCAAGACACATCCATGGACTCAGACAGTTTATTTGCCTCCAATTCCACAGAAAGATGCACAAGTGATACTTTTGTCTTTGTCGCTGCAATCCTAATGAAGGGCAAGACTTGATGCCGGAACACTAGGATATTGCCTCCTTCTTCAATCTATTATTCTGCTGTTTTAACCTCGTTCTTCAGCCTATTAGTCTGCTCTTTTAGCTTCATGCTCTGGTCTGATGGCATGTTGGCATTGCTTTGATCTGTTGATCATCTGCATCACTGATAACAAAAAGTTAAAAGGAATTTTTTTGTCCTTGAAAAAAGTGAACGGCATTCCATTTCAGGAAATCAAACTTATCATACTCGAAGATCCTGTCATTTAGAGAATGGTGAAATGCGTTTTGGGTACAACTCAATTTCATTAACCTTTCATGATTGATGATTTGTTTTCCATGATTTGATGCAGATTTAAACTTAAAGAATATTAAATTTCACTGTCAAATTTAATATTTGATGAATTTTGCCTGCTGAATTGATTGAGGACTAGAGGTTGGTATCAGCAGGGTTGATGCCAACTGATACAGATGAACTCTTGGAGATTTTAATTTTATTTTACATGAATTATCCTGGATGCATCATGTTCCTTGATGTAGTCTCCTTCATCACTTTCATATCACCACAGATGTCAACTGCTCAATCAAAACATTACCGTTTCATTTTTGATCTGGAGGTTGTTGAATTGAACTGGTATGAAGTGTCCCTATCAAAAGGTGAAGGTCACAGGATGGATTACAATGTTTTTGCCATAGTTGTATGAAGGCCCAGAAAGCCCAAAGTTTTGGGATTCAAAATGACTGTAAGGAGTTTGAAGTATGTTTGAAGCATCATGATTTTCATTTGATCATGATTGTTGCAAAAATTGTTATCTTTGATCTTTTTCCAAAACCATACATTGAATTTAAATAAATATTTTTTCCCTGGTATTTCTGATTGCAAGGGTTGTATGGTCATGAAGACACCCTGCAACTGGTGAGTGATTTGTTATTAACATATTTTTAATTTCATTGCTTCCTCATGGCAGTGTGGGTATCCTCTGTAGGATGCAACTCTCAGCCAGGGGCGTAATGATCATGGCTGAATTTTGTGGTTCTGTTGACATAATCTGCATGATGTTGTGTTTATATTTCTGAATGGCCAGTGTCCACTTGGTCAAGATTTATTGTTAAATCCCTGACCAATAGTATGTTTACTCGGGGCAGGAATCTGCCTCAGTAGTGGGTTTCATCCTAATCCACCAGGGGCGGTGGGGTAGCCCAGTGGTTAAAGCATTTGCTCGTCCTGGCGAAGACCTGGGTTCGATTCCCATGGGTACAATATGTGAAGCCCATTTCTGGTGTCCCCTGCCATGGCATTGCTGGAATATTGCTAAAAGCGGGCGTAAAACCATGCTCACTACTACCTTATTCACCAGCCTACTACACCACTGTCCCCTCGGCAGGTGTTATTAGAAGACAAAGATTTCTCACTGACCAGTCCATGTACTGTATCAGTGGGAGCCGGCCGCTTCCTGTCCTGGATATCAGTCACTGAAACTGATACTGCCTGGTCGTGTGTCTGGTTCAAACGCTGTCTGGAATCATGGACAAGTAAACATTATTATTATTATTATAGATATTTATATAGCGCACACATATCCACGCAACTAGTGCATGCTCAAGGCGCTGGTATTTTTTTCACCATGATCATTGGATGTCACTCTCAACGGCACATCGTATTATCAATCTCAACTCGCTGAGGAGTATACAACTCTTGCTGCCACTAGGCACATCGAGTTATTGTGGCTTTCTCATCCTAATGAGGTAACCATTCACAGCTGGGTGAACTGGGACACATAGTCACAGTACTTTGTCCAAGTTCACAACTAGGTGTTTGCACGTATTCATGTGGCCACCATCTGGTCATGTTACCAATGGATTTGTGGGTTCTTTTAAGTGCACAGGGTTGTGTATTGTACACTAGGGGTTGTGACAACACGGAAAGAGTTTGCACACAAAGTTGACTCCAAGAAATTTACATCCTTTAACATTAATGCATGTAAACTGTGTACTGTATCTTAAAGTTTGTCTCAAGACTTGTCAGCCAACGCATTGTTTGTCTGTGTAGATATATTTTATGTATGGAACAATTTGACTTGTTATTGCTGTGGTTTCACATGATTACGCTATTTTCGTCGTGAAAACAGTATGTTTACATGTGATCGTCCAGCTACAATAAATGTGGCTTATATCGAAACAAATTATATCATGTCCATTTTCTGTCAACTACACTTGGTTTCAAAGTGTAAGTGGATGCAATATGATTGTGGTTGCTTTGAATAAGGCAGCCGGAAGTTGTACGTATTGGAGTGACACACGATTCCGCGGCAATTAATATAAACATTATTGAATGACATTTTGAGCAAAATTAATGCTCTAGGTTACGAATGTAAGTTCAGATATGCAAAGAACATGTTTTATTACAAGATAGTTGAATGAAAGGATTTACATGCTTAATTCAATATGGATTTGTTGACACTCTATTTCTGAAGACTGTTCACAAGTTAGAACTTCGGCTTACACGATACCCAAATATTGGCTTACCCATGCCAGGTGAGCTTCAGCCCAATTGGACCAAATTTTATTTTGTTTCTGCTGAAAGAGTAATGGCCTACATCTTTTACTTTGAAAACAATTTTAACCATTCAAAGGAAAATCCACTCATTTGTCACCTTGACTGAAGAGCTGATTCATCGTAAGAAAAAACATGGTGCTAAGAATTGTAGAGAAACTCATATATGGACACAGAACAAATGCTGGTTCTCATATAGCAGTGTTTCAGCCCAATCCTTATTTTCTGAATCTCTTTATTTAGCTTGAATCTGGATCAATCAACAAAAATGTTTTGCCCAACTAAAGTTTGCAAGATTGTAACTGATTAGAGCACTGTTTATTGTCAAGTCTGCAAAAAGGTAGTTCCTACATCTGTAACCTTTCCGCTTCATAATTCTACTTATAAGTGAAGATCTGGATTAGAACTGGTCTTTATCAACCCATATGTGTCATAAGAGGTGACTAAAGGGACCAGGTTGTTAGGCTCGCTATTGAGGTTTATCCATGGTAACCTAAATTCATAGATTGATGCTCATGATGTCGTTCACTTGACATGTCATCGTATCCCAATTGTGCAGATTGATGATCATGCTATAATAATCACTTGATTGTCTGGTCCAGATTCAATTATTTTCAGACTGCTGCCATACAGCTGCAGTGTTATACAACAAACAAACAACACAAATCATTCAATGGAATGTCTGGCCGAGACCTATATGCCGTCATACAGGTTGAATATTGCTGAGTACAACAACAACCAATCAAATCATTGTTCTAGTATGGAACTACACTGCTGTACTCCAGTACTTCAATACTGCTGATACATTTCCACTCATTTGCTTTACCACTGGCCTTGACCCATGAAGATCTGGGGTAGAATTGATTTTCAGTAGCCCATGGGATCAGGTGGTCAGGCTCGCTGACTTGGTTGACACATGTCATCGTATCCCAATTGCGTAGATCGATGCTCATGTTGTTGATCACTGGATTGTCTGGTGCAGACTCGATTATTTACCGACTGCTGCCATATAGCTGGAATATTGCTGAGTGTGGCGTAAAACTAAACTCACTCATTCACTCACTCACCAGTGTGCTTGTGTTCCCCAGCTAAAGAAGACAGTGACACGAAGACCACAGCTGGAGGCTACGGGCCATCTGAAGAAGGCAGTGATGAATGAGAGGGAGGTTAAGATTAGGCTGCAGGAAGAAAACCAAAGTCTGAAGGTTGGTGTAATTTTCTTGTAGCTTTATCTGATTTGTCATGAGGAATAAATCATAGTTTCTTTCAGTTCTGAAGGTGAAATAGTAAGACAAAGAGAACACATGTTGTTATTAAGCACTTTTGATCCTAGTAGTTTGGAGGAAACATCAGCGAGCTTTGATAACAGTAATCTTAAACAGAAATCAGCAATAAACTCTTTATCTTAAACAGTAGGCCACCTTCTCTGGCAGTGGTGCTTGTAGATTTCATAACAGATTGGGTGGTGGGGTAGCCTAGTGGTTAAAGCATTCACTCGTCACACTGAAGACCCGAGTTCGATTCCCACATGGGTACAATGTGTGAAGCCAATTTCTGGTGTCCCCCCACCATGATATTGCTGGAATATTGCTAAAAGCGGCGTAAAACTAAACTCATTCACTCACTCAATTACTTAACAGATCGCCACAAGAGCGATCTGAGTCAGATACTTTTGAGTCCACATCCTGAAAGTTATTTCTTTATGTTATTGCTGGTTGGTTTTAGTGTTTTCTAGTTTATAATAAATAAATCTAAAGATATTTGACAAGAACAATGCTTGGGACTTTAGTGTCTAATGACAATTCTGTAATGTTGAAGTGTCACTTTGGTCCTGCCAGGATGAATACAATATTCAGTAAGGCCAGTAAACTTTGTTACTGGATCCATGTTGGCCTTCTCCAACCCATGCCTGGTATATGAGTTGTCACATGTGACTTGGTGACCTGGTTTGTGCATGTCATCATATCCCAGCTGTTGCTCATGATGTCAATCACTTGATTGTCTGGTCTATATTTCATTAAATGCAGACTGATATCATGTAGCTGGGCTATTTCAAAGTCTGTCAGTTAAAAAATAGCAATGAGATAGTACAGTCAAAGTTACATTTCTTATTTTGTAGGACAGAGTTGGAGATCTCACTGAAGAATTGACACATTCCAAAGCAAATGAACAGTCACATAAGCTTGCATTGAGAGCCATGGAGGAGACAGTGGTGAAACAAGACAGGGAGAGGTTGAATCAAGAAGCTCATGAGGTAGGTGACACAAACTTTCAAGGCTTACACACAATGCTTATGCGCCAGGCTTACAAGGCTTACTAAACATGTATACATGACTTACAAGGCTTACACACAAAGCTTACATGCCAGGCTTACAAGGCTTACAAAACATGCATACACGACTTACAAGGCTTACACACAAAGCTTACATGCCAGGCTTACAAGGCTTCACATACGGCTTACACACAAGTATTACATGCAAGGCTTACATGCAAGCTTACACCGAAGGCTCACAAAGCTTTCACACAAGGCTCACAAAGCTTTCACACAAGGCTCACAAGGCTTTCACACAAGGCTCACAAGGCTTTCACACAAGGCTCACAAAAGCTTTCACACAAGGCTCACAAAAGGCTCAAGGCTTTCACACAAGGCTTTCACATAAGGCTTTCACACATAGCTCACAAAGCTCACACAATACATAAGGCTTCCACACAGGCTCAAAGTACAAAGCTTTACAAGGCACACAAAGCTCAAGGCTTTCACACAAGGCTCACAAGGCTTTCACAAGGCTCACATAAACTTTCACACAAGGCTCACAAAGCTCACACACAAAGCTTCACACACAAGGCTCACACAAGCTTCACACACACAAGGCTTTCACACAAGGCTTGCAAAAGCTTTCACACAAGGCTCACAAGGCTATTCACACAAGGCTCACATAGCTTTCACACAAGGCTCACACACAAGGCTCACACAAGGCTTTCACACAAGTCTCACAAAGCTTTCACACAAGGCTATTGCTTTTATTTACACACTGATATGCACGTACCAATTTAGATCCATGTTAGAAATGACCTAACCCTTACCTGTAAGACTTAACTTAAAGGATCAGGTGGTCAGGCTCGCTGATTTTTTCTATTCAAGCCATCTTATCCAAATTGTATAGATGTCTGGTCCAGACTTGATAATAACAGACTGCCTTCATGAAGCTTGGACATTGCTGTGTGTGTCACGAAACAATCAAACACATGAACAAACAGGTTCTTGCAGTGACAGAGAGAAGTAAATGAGATGTTATTTGAAGGGGAAACCGTGTTGTTGTTTTTCAAAATGGTAAATAAAAATATAAGTAGATTGTCCTGCAGTGATACATACATGTTTATGTTTCAATCCAGACAAAGAAGTTGCAGGAAGCTCAGATGAAGGCAGCAGTGATGACACGTGAGGCTGAGTTGTTGAGACACACTACTGAGAACCAGAAGGGTCAACTTGGTCAGCTGCAAGAACTCCTGGCTGCCCGTGAACAGGAGCACAGGTAGGTCATCACTTGTTGTTTCTGGGAAGGGGGTAGATGTTGAGACACACTACTGAGAACCAGAAGGGTCAACTCGGTCAGCTGCAAGAACTCCTGGCTGCCCGTGAACAGGAGCACAGGTAGGTCATCACATGTTGTTTGTGGAGGGAGGTAGATGTTGAGACACACCACTGAGAACCAGAAGGGTCAACTCGGTCAGCTGCAAGAACTCCTGGCTGCCCGTGAACAGGAGCACAGGTAGGTCATAACATGTTGTTTGTGGGAAGGAGGTACTTGTTAAGACACACCACTGAGAACCAGAGAATCAGTATGCTGAGTCATATATTGTATGCAGTCTCATATTGATCCAGTATGCTCAGTATGCAGTATTACATGGATCCAGTATACTCAGTATTCAGTCAAATATGAATCTGGTATTAACAGGATGTAGTATTATTCCTCTCAGTCTCATGTTCAGTATGAGGCTGGGCCCCGGTTCACAAAGCTCTCGTAAGCCTAAGATCTCGTAACATTTCTTGTAGCATTCATACTTCCTATACTGTAACATTGACTTATGATTGGTGTAGCGCTAGAAGAACTGTGTGAAACGTGCACCTGATCTTCATGTTTTGTTTCGCACATGGTCATTATCAAACTCATCATCAACAACAGTATCCAGCTGAATGTTACACTGACAGTGTGTAGTGTCAGCCTTCAGTAATAAAAACACATTTAACGGAGCTCTGCATGCATAGAATTGCCAAATTTGACAGCTTCAGTGACAGTTTTTTTTCTTCTCAAATTCCTTTCCATCCTCTATTAGAGGTCAGCAGATTTCTCACTTCTATTCATTGGCTGTCATTTTATCTCATTATTGAGATTGATGGTACAGGTTTGTGATTTTTGTTGATGCCATGAGCTGCTGCACTTTCACTTCTGTATGATATTTAGTTACAGTGTGATTGAAATGTGATCCCTCTTGGGATGTGATCAGAACTGGACTCTGTTAGGTAATTTGTGTTGTAGAATCCATGCATCCTTGTGATGTTCATGATGACATGTGATACAAAGAGGCGTTTGATGTAGTCTGTGATGTATGTGTGGAACAGATACATGATACAGATGTGATAAACACTTAGGGCATGTGATACATTCATGTTAGGTTAAGAATTAAGAAAAACTAAATGAATGCACAAAGGTTGTGTGAACATATGGAACACAAACTGGCTCCAGATATTGCACATGTGTTACAGACAGGAGATATCTTTGTTTATTATATAGGTAGTATTTTTCCTGTACCACGATTGGTCAAAATACAGTCACATGATTGACTACAAAACACGATATTGACTTGAGTTTTCTGATAATTTACGATATTGACTTGGGTTACTAAAAATAGACAAGGAATCCTGTACGAAGGGGCTTCCCCCGCTTTTCACCAATCAGATCACTCGGATAGATGGCACAGTGTGTGCATTAAAAGTTTATGTTAAAACCCGTTTCTCTTTCATTATATAATAAAACAATTATAGACTCTTGTAGAGGTCGATATCGGTTTTGATTGACCTGAGAGAAAACAATATCGACATCGCAAGCTCAGTCGATATTGTTTTACTCAGGTCAATAGAAACCGATATCGACCTCTACAAGAGTCTATAATTGTATAATAGCACACATATGATACACCCTCATGACAAAGGTGGGTATATCACACACATGATTCAGATGTGTATATCACAAATGATATAGATGTATATATCACACACATGATACAGATGTATATATCACACACATGATACAGATGTGTATATCACACACACGATACAGATGTTTATATTGCAAACATTATATAGATGTGTATATCACAGGTGATACAGATGTATATGTCACACATGATATGATGTGTATATCACACATGATATAGATGTGTATATCACACAGGTGATACAGATGTGTATATGACACATGATATGGATGTGTTTACCACACACATGACACAGATGTGTATATCAAAGGTGATACAGATGTGTATATCACACACATGTTATAGATGTGTATATCACACACATGATATGGATGTGTATATCACACATTTGATATATATGTGTATATCACAAACATGATATGGATGTGTATATCATACACATGATATAGATGTGTATATCACACACATGATATATATGTGTATATCACACACATGATATAGATGTGTATATCACACACACATGATATAGATGTGTATATCACACACATGATATAGATGTGTATATCACACACATGATATAGATGTGTATATCACACACACATGATATATATTTGTATATCACACACATGATATAAAATGTGTATATCACACATGATATAGATGTATATATTGTTCATGATATAGATGTGTATATAACACACATGATATAGATGTATATATCACACATGATATAGATGTATATATCACACACGATATCGATGTGTTACATCAGAATATACCTCTAGGGACATTTGCATTGCACAAAACAGCTCACATAAAATCCTGACCATTTCGTTTTTGTTCTGGAAGTGACTCAAGATATTTCAGTCCTAAAACAGTAAAGAGAAGAAATAGAAAACGTGTCCCATACCTACAACCCATTAACACCCTTTGGCAGTTCATGAGCTGTACACAGACGATGTCATTAGGAGTGAGTTTCACACGATATTTGAAAGGGAACTCTCCGGAGAAGAGGAAACAGCTCCAAATTGGCATTGATGGGTTTCCATATATTCAGGGAAGCCTGTGTATTTTCACAGCAATCTTGTGTCCAGGATTCCCTCTTTCAGATCATGCTTTCAACTTGTTCCAAATCTTTAAAACTTTTCGAACTAGTGCTATGTCTATTTCTTGATGAATTATGTAGTCATTTACCATTTTGCCCAAAAGCAAAGCAAAACTTACCACTGTGTGCATCACTTAAAAGATTTAGTTTTCCAGAGTCATCGATTATTTAGTAGCAAATGAGCACTACATTAGTTCGATGAAGTGAATTTTGTCTCACACAATATATTTCAATATGCTCTTCAGCAGCTGTCTCGAAAGTTGTGATTTTTTAAAAGAATGCACATCTTTACAGTCTAAAGCATTGATTTCATCATGTTGGTACAGGCAAAAACATTCGTGACAATTTTGCTCAGCGGAGTATATTTTTATGATGATAAAACGCTTGTTAATGTACATTGTATTAAGGCATGAGACTCTGCAAGTGATTCATAAAACTTTACATATCAGCATGACAGGAATTAAACTCTGAAGATTTGACTGCATGAAGCAGACAGTTTATATGAAATAATGCAATCTTCTTTCAACAATCTGTGATACAGTTCTGCAGTCTGTAATTCGTCAGACTTGGGTGTTTGCCTGGTTGTTGTAAGATAGAGAACTTGTTCAAATACTTACAGTATCCAGGGGTGGTGGAGTAGCTTAGTGGTTAAAGCATCCGCTTGTCACACCGAAGACCAGGGTTTGATTCCCTACATGGGTACCATGTGTGAAGCCCATTTCTGGTGTCTCCCGCTTTAATAATTATAAAAACAACCAAAATATGAAAAAAATACCAGAGAAACTATGTCCAACTATTCAGATGGAAATAGTTTCTCTAGTATTGTTTTCATATTTTCTCAATGAGTTTTTTGTCTTTCTTTTTTTCAATATTTTCTTAATGAAAGTGAACCATTCAGTCACATATAACATCTAGATCTGTTAAAAAGCTGTTAAGAAATGAAACAGAATAAAAATAAATACTGTATTTTTAATGGATTGTGTAAGATGTGATCAATCATCAAAATGGCGGCTGGTTATTGCAGAGGCTGCCGAATATGCTTTTCGCATGGAATTCTGGGTAAGAGAGTCACGATTCATGCAGTGCAGTAGTGTCGCAGTAAGGGCTAGGGAGACTTTTAGGGTGTGGATGAGTGAGTGAGTGAGTTGGGTTTTAACACTGCATTGAACTGTATTCCAGTTAGATCTTGGAGTGTAGGATTGAAAGTCTTGTAGTCATTCAGGGCATAGATATATTCTGCTGTGGCAAAATCACAAACCCACACGATTTTTAGTTTGTGCAAGGGAAGCAATTCTGCACAACACATTAGTTGGTTGGTTTGTTGTTTATCGCCGCACTCAGCAATATTCCAGCTATATGGTAAAGGTCTGTAAATAATCAAGTCTGGACCAGACAATCTAGTGATCAAAAGCAAGAACATTGAACTGCGCAATTGGGATACGATGACATGTGTCAACCAAGTCAGCGAGCCTGACCCCTGATCCTGTTAGTTGCCTCTTACGGAAAGCACATGTTACTGAAGACCAATTCTAACTCGGATCTTCACGGGTTGCACAACACATTAAATGATGGGGGCCACCTATATCCCTAGGTCTGGAAGGGAAATATGGTTTCAGGGACTAATGAGACAAAGGAGGATCAGTCTAAAGTACTCACTTTAGGTGTTTCGTCAGAATTGGATGATCATGGGATTGATACTTGTTATGATGTTGGTCACCACTGTACCCATCCACCAAACTGGCACTGACTTAGACCTTTGTAGCAAGGTGTGGAGTCATCCCAGAGATAACATCGTTACCATGTCACCTTGCTGACAGTGTTAACCTGTTTGGATAGTCAGGTGACTAAGTCTTGGTCACCACAGTACCCATCCACCAAACTGGCACTGACTTAGACCTTTGTAGCAAGGTGTGGAGTCATCCCAGAGATAACATCGTTACCATGTCACCTTGCTGACAGTGTTAACCTGTTTGGATAGTCAGGTGACTAAGTCTTGGTCACCACAGTACCCATCCACCAAACTGGCACTGACTTAGACCTTTGTAGCAAGGTGTGGAGTCATCCCATAGATTGCTGACAGTGTCAACCTCTTTGGTCATGTGGACAAAGTGTCTGACTTTGGATCAGAAGGTCTGTGGTTCAGATCCCAGCCCGGGGCTCGGACATTTTTCTTTTACCTTCAAGATGACACATGGTTAAAGAAAAGACCATGACATGCCAGAACTGGGGATGTCTTTGTGAAAGTGCTAACAGAGTTAACACAGGATTTGACATCCAGTACAAAGGAAACTCATAAATGTTTAGGGGTTTAAGGCAAGGTGTTACAATGATTATTACAAGATGAATGCTATTTGGAATATAAGGTGAGACTAACATTCAGCCTGAAAATACATAATTCTGATGGACTGACTGACTGAGTTTGGTTTTATGCCGTTTGTTAGCAATATTCCAGCAACATCACGGCGGGGGACACCAGAAATGGGCTTCACACATTGTGCCCATGTGGGGATTCAAACCCGGGTCTTCGGCGTGACGAGCCAATGCTTTAACCATTAGGCTACCCCACCGCCCCAATTCTGATGGGAACAGATATCCCTTTTCATACCAAAAAGGAGCCCAAGTAACATTTGAGATTTAGGAACATCACAGTGGGGACACAAGAAATGGGCTTCACACATTGTACCCATGTTGAGAATTTAACCCGGGCCTTTCATCACAATGAGTGAACACATTAACCACTATGCTAACCACATGTCCTGACAATCATGTTGTACATACAAAGATCCAGAGAAAGGATGTACCCTCCAATCAACAGCTTGGAGCGTACACACAGCATTTTGGAATTATAAAAAGGTGGATAAATTATATGATGTGAAAAAGTAATACTGCATAAATTTGAACTCAATTGGTGATAAGCTTTGAAAAAATGGAGAAGGAACAAATGATATTACTGTTAGGATTTGTATAAACCTGCGATAATATTTCACTTTTGATCCCTAAGTGTGTCACGTCCTTTAAAAAACATTTTGCTTACTACTTCACAGTGTTTACCCAGCACTTATTGGAATATCCTGATATGGTAATGAGAATGTAAAACTATTAACCTCTAACATGGAGTTTGGGCTGGATGTTCCCCAGGGAGTTGAGAAAGCATTATGAAAGGACAATGATCCTCCACTGACTAGAGAAATATTATGTCATATGTCACTTGTTGAAACAATGCATCTCTGTGGGATAAAGTAACATCATTTGTCATTTCCAGCACAAAGGTTTCCATGACAGTCTGTTAATCATTAATCCATCATGAATTTTTCTTTTGAAGCAGTAAAAAATGATATCAAATCATATGAAAAGTTTGCGAAACTTCTCAGAAAGCATAAAGCTTCAGAAAGCTATAACTTTGGTATTTGTCTCAATAATGCATAAGGATAAATTTGTTTCTGTAATTAATATTTTATTGCTCAATCCTGTATATTATTAACATAAGGATAGATTTGATCCCACCAGAACAAGGACTCATAAAATAGTAACATAGCAGTAATAATATAATTAAGATTTATAAATAGAGGTGAGGCAAAACTGAAACAGAATCATTCATCATTTATCATCAAGGGGTCAGGCTCTGTTGAATGTAGCTGATGCTGAGTACTTGTTATGAAAACTGCTAAACAAATATTTATGTTACTTTTTGGAACCAGTGACATTATTTTATAGTGCAACCATAATTTTGATGGAGCAACCAAACCTATAAGGCAGGTTTACTTGGTGCAGGTACTGAAAAAAACACACCAAAATCACCCCTATACATACAGTTGTCATCATGTTTTTTTTAAGTGGCAGAGCAGGATAGGCGGCTGACTTTGTGTGCTGGCGATTAGGTGCCTGAGGGTGTGGGTTCGAATCCCGGATGGGACTCAACCCAACAAAAGTACTAGAATACAGTTATCATCACTTACTTGATAGCCGCAAATAGCTGCAAAATTGCTGATGCGGCTTAAAGCAACATTTACTCACTCACTCACTTGATAACGGTGTTAGCGTCAACACCAAAACATTGCATCCATTGCAATAAAGAAGTCTGCATTGTTTCAATTCCAAATATATATCACGGTGGTTTTGTTATGAAGTTCTGGAGGATATATTTTGTGTAAATCAGTATCTGAAACTCCAGCATCCCATTGCCGTCCCAGTCTTAGTTCTAGCATCCCATCTACTCACCTCCTTTCTTGCACCCCTTTCTCAGCTCTAGGATCCCATTGCCATCCCAGTTTTAGTTCCAGCATTCCATCTACTCACCTCCTTTCTAGCACCCCTTTCTCAGTTCAAGGATCCCATTGCCATCCCAGTCTTAGTTCCAGCATTCCATCTACTCACCTCCTTTCTAGCACCCTTTCTCAGTTCTAGGATCCCATTGCCATCCCAGTCTTAGTTCCAGCATCCCGTCTTCTCACCTCCTTTCTAGCACCCCTTTCTCAGTTCAAGGATCCCATTGCCATCCCAGTCTTAGTTCCAGCATCCCATCTACTCACCTCCTTTCTAGCAACCCTTTCTCAGCTCTAGGATCCCATTGCCATCCCAGTCTTAGTTCCAGCATCCCGTCTTCTCACCTCCTTTCTAGCACCCCTTTCTCCGTTCAAGGATCCCATTGCCATCCCAGTCTTAGTTCTAGCATCCCATCTACTCACCTCCTTTCTTGCACCCCTTTCTCAGCTCTAGGATCCCATTGCCATCCCAGTCTTAGTTCCAGCATTCCATCTACTCACCTCCTTTCTAGCACCTCTTTCTCAGTTCTAGGATCCCATTGCCATCCCAGTCTTAGTTCCAGCATTCCATCTACTCACCTCCTTTCTTGCATCCCCCTTTCTCAGTCTCTAAAGGATCCCATTGCCATCCCAGTCTTAGTTCCAGCATCCATCTTCTCACCTCCTTTCTAGCACCCCTTTCTCAGTCTTCTCTCACCTCCTCTAGATCCCAATGCCATCCCAGTCTTAGTTCCAGCATTGTCTTCTCTCACCTCCTTTCTAGCACCCCTTTCTCAGCTCTAGGATCCCATTGCCATCCCAGTCTTAGTTCCAGCATCCCGTCTTCTCACCTCCTTTCTAGCACCTTTCTTTCAAGGATCCCATTGCCATCCCAGTCTTAGTTCCAGCATCCCATCTACTCACCTCCTTTCTAGCACCCCTTTCTCAGCTCTAGGATCCCATTGCCATCCCAGTCTTAGTTCCAGCATCCCATCTACTCACCTCCTTTCTAGCACCCCATTTTCTCACTCTAGGATGCCATTCCCAGTCTTAGTTAGCACTCACCTCCTTTCTCAGCTCAGCTCTAGGATCCCATTGCCATCCCAGTCTTAGTTCCAGCATCCCATCTACTCACCCTCCTTTCTAGCACCCCTTTCTCAGCATCCCATCTACTCACCTCCTTTCTAGGATCCCATTGCCATCCCAGTCTTAGTTCCAGCATCCCATCTACTCACCTCCTTTCTAGCACCCCTTTCTCAGTCTTAGTTCTAGCATCCCATTGCCATCCCATCTCAGCTTGAGCATCCATTTTCATCTCCTACACAGTTCTCGAGACAACTAATTATCCTAAAGAAATTAAAGATGGAAAGCTTATTAGAGTTTTACCATTTAGATCAATTAATCTTTGTAAACTGATACTCATTAACTTACCCGCTCAGAAGTGCAATTAAACTGGATTCTGTGTTCTGTGTCATGGAACTTGCTGAGAAACAAACAAATGTTGGATGTTTACAACACAAACTTTGAACTTCACTTTTATCTATCAATCTGTTTCTAGTTTTTAAATGTTAAACCATTTAGCCAAAAAATGTCATCTAATTGGTTCTGACAGGTAATTTAGTCTGATTGTTCTCTTGTGATGAAAGAGGTTTTTCAGAAGACACATGAAGTTTTCTTCATTGAGTGGCATTTAGAAGTTAGTATGATGGACAGCAGAAATTTCTATGAATATACAACTTCTGTATTATAATGTAAGCAATGTTTCAGTGTTGCTCCAGTGTAGCTGCTAACACCGTTACCAGGCAACACTTCTTGATAACAGTGTTAGCAGCTACACTACTTGCTTGATAACAGTGTTAGCAGCTACACTACTTGCTTGATAACAGTGTTAGCAGCTACACTACTTGCTTGATAACAGTGTTAGCAGCTACACTACTTGCTTGATAACGGTGTTGGTGTTAGCAGCTACATTAGCTTGCTACACTACTTGCTTGATAACAGTGTTAGCAGCTACACTACTTGCTTGATAACGGTGTTGGCAGCTACATTACTTGCTTGATAATGGTGTTAGCAGCTACACTACTTGCTTGATAACGGTGTTAGCAGCTACACTACTTGCTTGATAACAGTGTTAGCAGCTACACTACTTGCTTGATAACGGTGTTAGCAGCTACACTACTTGCTTGATAACAGTGTTAGCAGCTACACTACTTGCTTGATAACAGTGTTAGCAGCTACACAGTGATTAGCAGCTACACACTACTTGCTTGATAACAGTGTTAGCAGCTACACTACTAGTGTTGACTACTTGCTTGATAACAGTGTTAGCAGCTACACTACTTGCTTGATAACAGTGTTAGCAGCTACACTACTTGCTTGATAACAGTGTTAGCAGTTAGCTTGTTTGCTACACTACTTGCTTGATAACAGTGTTAGCAGCTACACTACTTGCTTGATAACAGTGTTAGCAGCTACACTACTTGCTTGATAACAGTGTTAGCAGCTACACTACTTGCTTGATAACAGTGTTAGCAGCTACACTATAACGGTGTTAGCAGCTACACTACTTGCTTGCTTGATATGGTGATAACGTTGTGATAGCTACACTACTTGCTTGATAATGGTGTTAGCGGTGTTAGCAGCTACACTACTGCTTGCTTGATAGCAGTGTTTGCTAACAGTGTTAGCAGCTACACTACTTGCTTGATAACGGTGTTAGCAGCTACACTACTTGCTTGATAACGTTGTTGTTAGCTACACTACTTGCTTGATAACAGTGTTAGCAGCTACACTACTACTTGCTTGATAACAGTGTTAGCAGCTACACTACTAGCAGTGTTTGATAACGGTGATAACAGTGTTAGCAGCTACACTACTTGATAGCAGTGTTGATAACGGTGTTAGCAGCTACACTACTTGCTTGATAACAGTGTTAGCAGCTACACTACTTGCTTGATAACAGTGTTAGCAGCTACACTACTTGCTTGATAACAGTGTTAGCAGCTACACTACTTGCTTGATAACAGTGTTAGCAGCTACACTACTTGCTTGATAACGGTGTTAGCAGCTACACTACTTGCTTGATAACAGTGTTAGCAGCTACACTACTTGCTTGATAACAGTGTTAGCAGCTACACTACTTGCTTGATAACAGTGTTAGCAGCTACACTACTTGCTTGATAACGGTGTTAGCAGCTACACTACTTGCTTGATAATGGTGTTAGCAGCTACACTACTTGCTTGATAACGGTGTTAGCAGCTACACTACTTGCTTGATAACAGTGTTAGCAGCTACACTACTTGCTTGATAACAGTGTTAGCAGCTACACTACTTGCTTGATAATGGTGTTAGCAGCTACACTACTTGCTTGATAACGGTGTTAGCAGCTACACTACTTGCTTGATAACAGTGTTAGCAGCTACACTACTTGCTTGATAATGGTGTTAGCAGCTACACTACTTGCTTGATATATGGTGTTAGCAGTGTTAGCAGCTTGATAACGGTGTTAGCAGCTACACTACTTGCTTGATAACGGTGTTAGCAGCTACACTACTTGCTTGATAACAGTGTTAGCAGCAACACTACTTGCTTGATAATATGGTGTTAGCAGCTACACCAAAGTGTCTCTCACGTTAATAATACATAAGTTGTTCATGTATATCCATCAAGCAAAAATTGTTGCACAGAGTAGTCCAATGGCTGAACATTTTTGGCAGTTTTACGCTTGAGACTTTAGGGTGTGGATTTGGTACATTTGAAACATGCGTATTATTATTTTTAACAAAATTTCTTCATGTAGGATGTAGCTAGCAAGATCTCCTATGAATCTCGCCTCACCAAAGCTGAAATCTTGTGAGGGGTCATTAAGTTTTTTCATCAAATTCTCATCTGATTTTAGACATGGATGCCAAGATAACCTTTTGAAATTAGTCTCTTCTCTGCATTACACGACCATGTGATCATTATAACGTTTGGAATGAAATGAGAAAGTGGCATGCTGAATAACATTGATGTACTTTTGGTATAATTTGTTTTCGGTATCCGTGGCCTTGTACTTTCACAACACCCTGCGTATCTGGATTTGCTTTATTTGTTCGGTCACCTAGATCTTCGGCTGGATTAATGAATGTAGATGTTGTGTATATATTCCATCTAATGGTGACTCTAAATGTACTCACAGAATTCTGATTTAATTTAAACGTGGCAGAAAAATGAAATTAACTTAACATGAGTCAGTATAATGTTGATTTGCAAAAATTGAATAATCATGTCGTAAATGTTCCCTCTGGATTATGGCTGCTTTTTCATATAGTTACCACTGAGACATCCAGAAATGGATATGAAACTTTTATCTAAGTCATAGCTTTCCCTAGTGGTATGCCTATGCAGTAGTCAGTTATCTTCCTTGGGTGTGATGTCACAGTATTGCTGTTTGAAAACTTTAATAAGTTTTCTGTATGGGCCACATATACAAGACGTGCTTACAGAGTAGAAGTGTTTTTGAATTCTG